AAACAACCCCAGACGCAGTTAGCCACCTCATCTTCGACAAAGGAGCCAAACAACCTTAATGGAGGAAAGGTATCTTCTTTATTAAATAGTGCTGGAAAAACAGGATTTCAACTTGCCAAAGATTATAACTAGACTTATATCTCTCACCATGCATTAAACTAAAATTGAAATGGATTAAAGATCTAAACAGTAAAACAGAAATACTAAAATGACTGCAAGAGAGGTTAGGTAGAACTCTTGAAGACATTAGTATAGGAAAAGATTTCATGTACAAAACCTCAGTTGCACATTAAGTAGCACAAAGAATCAACAAGTGGGATCTCTTCTTCTTAAAAATCTTTGGCACAGCAAGAGACATCACCAACAGTGTGAACAGACAACCCACAATGTGGGAAAAAGTTTTTACCAGCTGTCTACTATCTAGAATATACAAAGAACTCAACCAAATGAGACCTCTCAAATTTAAAGACGTAATCCAAAAATGGGCGTCTGAAATGAAGAGATAATTCTCAGGGGCCAGGGATTTGGCTCAATGGTTCTGACACCTGCCTTGCAAGTACAAGGGAGAGAGGGAGAGAGGGAGAGAGAGAGAGGGAGAGAGGGGGGGAGGAAAAGAGGGAAAGAGAGAGAGAGGAAGAGAGAGAGAGAAAGGGAGAGAGGGAGAGAGAGAAAAAAAGAGGGAAAGAGAGAGGAAGAGAGAGAGAGAAAGAGAGAGAGAGAGGGAGAGAGAGAGAGGAAAAGAGGGAAGAAAGGGAGAGAGGGAGAGAGAGAAAAAAAGAGGGAAAGAGAGAGGAAGAGAGAGAGAGAAAGAGAGAGAGAGAGAGAGAGAGAGAGAGGGAGAGAGGGAGAGAGAGAGGGAGAGAGAGAGAGGAAGGGAGAGAGAGAGAGAGGAAGAGAGGGAGAGAGGAAGAGAGGGAGAGAGAGAGAAACAGCAAATAAACATATGAAAAAATGATCAATATCACTGGTCATTCAAGACATGCAAATGAAAACAACACTGAGATTCCACCTCACCTCAGAAAGAATGGCTGCTATCATGAAATCAACCAATAACAAATGCTGACAGGGCTGTGGGGAAAAAGGAACCCTTCTCCACTATTGGTGGGAATGTAGACTGGTGCAACCACTGTGGAAAACAGTATGGAGATCCCTCAAAGAACTAGGATTACAAGCCCTGTTTGACTCAGCTATTTTCCTACTGGGTATCTTCCCAGAAGAGTTAAAAGGATCATACTACATCCATGTATGTGCACCCATGTTCATAGCAACACAGTTTGCAATAATTTGGAAACAACTCAATCCCCTATCAACTGGAGACTGGATAAAGAAAATGTGTGTGTGTGTGTGTGTGTGTGTGTGTGTTTACAAAATGGAGTACTACTCAGCCAAAAAGAATGAGAAATTAGAGACATTTGTAGCTAAATGAATACACATTGAGGTGATACTCTTAAGTGAAATAAATAGGACACATGTGTGAATACCGGTGTGAGAAACTGAAAGTGTAAATAAGGACCAAAACGCATAGTAGATACTGTGAAATAGGAAGAAAAGGTCCAAAGGTGAAAGGGAAGTGGGCAGGATTGGGGAAAGGAAAGAAGGGAATGAAATTAATATAAGAAAATGAAAAATGGAAACAAAGTCGTTGTAAATAGGGAGGGGTAGAGGGAGTGAAGGGAGGGCAGGGGAATGGGGGAAAAATAACAACCAAGATAGATTATGTAAAGGTACAAATTTCCAATGATGAATGTCATTATATTGTATACCTAAAATGTACCAATAAAATTAATTTTTAAAAAATTGAAGGGGCTGGGGATTTAGCTCAGTGGTTCCATCACCTGCCTTGCAAGCACAAGGACCTGAGTTTGATCCCTGGTACCAAAAAATAAAAAGAAATTGGAAAGGTAAAATCTTTTCCAGTTAGAGGAGTGTTTAAAGCAGTTATTGTGGAACATTATGCCAATATATAGGAACATTTTTTAATATTGATATGATACAAATGCTTGCCTATCAATGTAATTAAAAAAGTTGATACAAGAAAAAAAGGAAGACAGAAGACCCCAGTGCATGTAGAAGTGACAAGAAAAAAACTAATGTAACACAGCAAACACAAATAGGAAGACTCTGAAAGGTAGAAAGCAAATGTGCATAGCTTAAAGACCTCAGGACCTGCAGAACAACATAGTGATGAGTTCCCTGGAGTTTCTTTTTTCCTTTCCATATATCATTAAAATGCATTGAAGAAGATTCAAACTCAGAACTAACAGGCATTTATTAAAAAAAAAAAAAGAAAGAAAAAGAGCTTCAAGAAAAGCCACTCTTCGTAAAGCACCCGGGAGAAGGTGCTCTTACTGAACAGAATAACTTTTGAAAATACCCAGCATACTCCAGGGAAACATTAAGGAAGGCACATTCTTTGCAAGTACCTGGTAATCATTCTCCAAGACAGACCCTAGTAGAGAATGTTCCAAGACAGGGTCATAATGGCCGGGCATGGTGGCGCACACCTGTAATCCCAGCACTCAGGAGGCTGAGGCATGAGGATCACTGTGAGTTCGAGACCAGCCTGGGCTACATAATGCGTTCCAGGTCAGTCTCAACTATATAGTAAGACCCTGTCTCAAAAAAGCAAAAAAGAAAAAAAAAAGACAGGGTCATAAAATACTCCCCAAATTTGATTATATGGTATATTTTCTCTGACTGCAATTACACCAGAGAAGAAATCAATACTGGAAAGACAAACTCTGCACACTCTTGAAAATTAATATATTTTTATGTAATCCATGGATCAAAGAAGTGTCAAGGGAAATTTTAAAAAATAAATAAAAATGAAAATATAATATATTAAAATTTGTGGAATTCAGATAGAGCAGCATGGACAGGGAAATTCATAGCACTAAATGTTTACATTAGAAAAGAAGAAAGGTCTTAAATTAATAATCTAAGCTCCAACCTCAAAAACCTAAGTAAAGATGAGCAAAGTAAACCCAAAGCAAGCAGAAAAAACTAAAGAGCAGAAATCAATGAAACTGAAAACAGAAAAAAAAATCAATGAAATTATTCTTCAAAATACATCTAGGTATGTATAAGGTGTACATGAGCCTGGCATGTAAGCATATGGCTGTAATTCCAGCTACAGGGAGGCCAAGGCAGAAGGATAACAAGTTTGAAGTCACCCTGGTCAACTTACAGAGACCCTGTCTCAAAATAAAATATAAAATGCATTGAGGTATAACTGAGGAGAAGGTCACTTGCCTAGCGTGTCCAAGGCAATGCAAGGCCCTGGGTCAATCTCAGTACTGAAAAAAAATGTTTTAAAAAAAGTATATACGAAGCCGGGCGTGGTAGCGCACTCCTGTCATCCCAGCACTTGGGAGGCTGAGGCAGGAGGATCGCTGTGAGTTTGAGACCAGCCTGGGCTACATAGTGAGTTCCAGGTCAGTCTCAACTATGTAGTGAGACCCTGTCTCAAAAATAAATAAATAAACAAACAAACAAACAAACAAACAAATAAATAAATAAATAAAAAGCATATGTGAAACACAGATAAATTTTATGTTTAGATTTGGGTCCAATACCCAAAATATCTCATTTTGCACATGCAAATATTCCAAAATTTAAATAAATCCAACATCTGAAAACAGTTCTGCTCTCAAGCATTTTGGATATGGAACACTCAACCTCTACTGGAAATTCTAGGCAGCATAATAAAGAATGAAAAAAAAGGAAAAAATAAATCTGTCCCTGTCTGTATATGACATGATTGCTTATTAAAGAAAAAAGAATCTACCAAAAAAGATGTAAAATTAAGATTGAGTTCAGCAAAACTGCAGGATCCAAAATCATCATCCAAAACTCAACTGTATTCCCATATAAACAGCAAATACGTGGAAATCAAAATTTAGAAGACAATGCCACTTATAACTACTTAGATATAAACAGCAAAACATCTACACAACTTGTATGCTGAAAACTACAATACACTCTTAAATAATTCAAAGATGATCTAAATAGAGATATATTGTGAAAACGGATTGGAAGACTTCACATAGTTGAGATGTAAATTCCTCCCAAACTGATATACAGGCTTAACACTATTCCTATCAAATCCCAGCAAGATGTTTTATCGGTATAGACAAGATTATTGTGAGATTATTGCATATGGAAAAGTAAAGGAACTAACGGAGCTAAATAATGTTTAAAAAAGAACAAAGTGGAAGTAAGCACTACCCAATTTCAAGACTTACTATACACATATACAGTAATCAAGACAGTGCAGAACTCTTGCCAGAGGGGCAGACACATAGATCAATGGGATGGAATGGAGAACCCGGAAAGAGCTCCCACATAATTATGGTCAATTTCTTTTTGACAAAGGTGTAAAACAAGTCAAGAGATGAAGGATACTCTTTCCAACAAATGGTGCTTGCATAGCTGGACCATTCATAAGTGAAATGTGCCTCGACGTGAATCTCATATTACACAAAAATTAACTCATAATGTATTATTGACAGCAACGTGGATAAACGAACAAATCACCACCTCGGTGGAGAATATCTCTACCTTCTCAGTAACAAAAGACGCATACACACAAAAAGACGGATTTTGTATGGCATAACTGACATCTAAATAATTAAATATTATTTTCGAGTAATATAAATAACATTGCTAAAAATTCACCACAGACTAGGCCATATTTCAAAAATAAGCTTCACGTAGACATTTTTCTCACCCAGAAAACTGAGCTTAGAAATCCGTTAAAAAGATAAAATTTGGGGATACTGAAAACAGACTTCTAAATAACTCCTGGGTAAAAGACAAATTACTAACGCCTAAAAAGCACTTAAATCATAATATACCGAACCAGCGGGTCTTAAAGTGAACTTTAAAACCTTAACGTTGATATCGGCAAAGAGAAAAGCCTGCAAAATAAAGGGCGAATCGTCCAACTCAAGTTAGACAAACGATTCCATCGCGGACCACACAGAATCCCCAGCACTCACCCTCCCTGGGCGACCATCAACCTCCACATCCCTCCAGCAGGGAGTTGAATCTGCTTGACAACTATCAAACCGCAGAGAACCGCAGCCGCTTCCGGTCACAATGGCACCGCCCCTTCTTGGGTTTGGGGGGCTTAACCCTGGGGCGGCTAGGAGGTCCGCGCACGCGCAAAATCACCTGCGTGGCCTTTCTCAGCAGAGTCGAGGAGTTGTTAGAGTCGAGGCTTTGGGGCATTTGATGCCCATGGCAGCGTTATTCGGCGGGAACATGGCCGCGCCTAGGTCGCGCTTCCCTATGGGATACGCCATGTTGGAGGAGGGTCCATTCCGTACTGCGGATGAGGACGTCTTTAAATGCACAGAGCAGGAGTGTGGAGGCTGTCCCACTAGCTGCCGGGGACAGGAGTGGAGACTGTTCTGTGAACAGGCTTACTGGAGAAGTTTCTTTAAATCTGTATTGTACAAAACTGAGTATGCCATTCCGAGAAGCTGAGAGACTTACAAAGTCACAAGGGCGCCAGCAGCTGTCTCCTGGTCCATACTACTGGATGAAAAAACGAGGCGCGGGGGGGGGGGATCAGGCTGGAGCATACCATGAGGAAAAAGGGGGGAGAAGTCACACCACAGGGTGGGAAAAGGCAAGAAGTCAGTGTTAAATTTACTACCCCTGTCGTGCCAATGGAGTATAGCTGTGGGTTTTGAATGCTCCCTTAATCTACCTTATTTCTCTCTCCATCTATCCCAACTAAAATAAAAGCATTTACCAATAAAAACGTTTGATGTGTCCTTAGTCTAACGCATGATCAATGAAAACATCTTTAGGAAACTTATTGTCTTTATTTCCTCATAAAGAAAAAATCTTAGGGACAGTGCCCTTATGTTACAAATGTAGCTTTAATACCAGATTCTGATTTTTTCCCTTCAACCAGTTTGCTGCCCCTTTCACCTCCGATGTGGAATTATGGAGGCTCCCCTGCCCTGCTGAGAGATGGCACTGGGGCAGAAGGGGAAGGTAGTTGTGCTGCCTTCCATCTGATTATGCCTATTCATTCTTCAAAACCAAGTTCAAATGTCCCCATCCTCCCACCCCCGAAATCTTCCTGAGAGAGAAGGCAGCTCTGTGCCCTACTAAAGGCCTCTCTGAATCCCCAGGTAACAAAACTATTTTGAAGGGACCTTGTGTTGGCTGAGGTGTGGACTTGCTGGGGACCACATTTTAACATTTTGGAACATAAGGAGTTGTCTCCAGTCAGCATATGACCATCTGAAACTAATTTGTAGCCTGACAGATTCATCAATCAATGAAGGAAACCACACAGCAGAGCGGCCATGGAGCAGCTCACTAAATAAAGGAAAAAAAATAGAATTCTTAAGAGGATTCTGAAGAAAGGTGGAGTTCAGATGAAATGCAAATGAAGCAGTGTTTGGGGGAGCTCCAAGCAGGGACATGTGTGAAGGGATCAACATGAAATCTGGATGGCAAAGTGAACCCAGGGTACCATTACCTTGGAAACAGTGAAGATAGCTGTAGGATGCATTCTCCAGACACCACATCTCTGGAGCTGTGCGCCTGGCTGGAACCGAGACTTATTTTTCTAAGTCTAAGTGACTTAAAGTATCCTCTAAGAGTCAGATGTTTCGTTCCTACTGATACCATTTCAAACAGCAAATTTTCTAATTGTCTATGATTACAGAGAACAAAGTTCCTCAGTGACTAATGTGCTACCATAAAGAACCCCAACTCGGAGCAGTAGCCACTTAAAATAGGAGTTCTTTAGGGCATTACAGCTGCAGCTGGTCCTTGGGGGGAAATGTTTCGTGTTAACTTTACATCTAGCTTTATCTGTGTCTGTTCTCACATCCTGATAAATGGCAAAACAGATTTTATAGTCTGAAATCATTTTTGCCTTCTTAGAGAAATAGACTATCCCAGATTCTCTTTCTGCTTCTGCATCCCTTGTCTGGATAAGGGTTCACTGAATGAATAAATTAAAGAAGAGATGGACCCAGTGGAAGCATATTTGATATGAATACACTTCTAGTAGAGTGCCAGGGATTACTGTTAATGTTGTTTAATGTCATAACAGTAATATGATTATATTAGAAAAACTAGGCCTACCTGTTAGGCCACTTCAGAGAAGAAGGAAAGACAGAGATATAGTAAATGTATGATATTCAAAGTCATTAGTAATGGAGTATGTAAAAATCAAAATAAGATGAGAGGACATTTTATTTCCAATCTATTACCAAAACTGTAATTCTGACAAGATCAAGAGCTGGAAAGTATGTGGACACACAGTGTATTTTTCCCCTGTAGAAAATAGTTTGGCATTTCCTCTTAGAGTGAATATTTACATACCCTGCAATCCAGTGAGTCTACTGTTAGGCATATATCCAAGAGAAACACTTGTACAAGAAACATAAGATGAGCATGACGCCCTGTTCACAACAGGTAAAGCTGGAAGAATAAACAAATTTCCAACAACAGAAGTCAAAATGAATGAAAGAGAACAATGTTCAATATTATGGATGAGTGGCCAGGGATGTCACTCAGTGGTGCTGTGCCTACCTTGCAAGCGCAAGGTCCTAAGCTTGATCCCCAGTACCAAAAACAAACCAACAAAACAATATGGATGAATGGATAGAGGAAAATTCATCATCCCAAAAGACTACATAAAGCATAATACATTTTTATAAAATGAAATGTTTCTAATATAAATATAAACTATTTAGGATTTTGTATCATAGACACAAAATTATATAAAAAGGAACTCAAAATTGGTGAACTTAGCATTGAGGATGGTGTTTACCTTAGCTGAGGGAAGGCAGGACAATGAATTGAAGGACTTCATTGATACATGGAGGTTATTGTCAAGGTCATACCATTTGGGGGGGGGTTGTAGGTGCACAAGTCCTAATTATTAAAACTAAATATTTAAATTAATTGTGAAAATTAATCAGATCAGTATCTAAATGAAGAAAAGAGAAAGTCTGTGTGGAGGAAAGTGCTGCTCCTTGACTGGGGCAAGAAAATCTCTGACCCTAACCCAGAGATGCCACCTGGTGGTGGAATGAACAAGAAGCAGAGGTTCCATGGCCTTGACATCCGGGTGCCTACCAAAGATGCCCTCCTTCCAAGGAACTCTCCACCTGGTCACTCATGTATCTGCTTAAATACCTCCTCTCCAAACACATTTCCTCCCTGGTCCACACCACCACCGTCGAGCTCCTCACCACATTTCTGTTCTTTTGCTCAGAAATTATTTTACCCATTGACTGTTTGCTCATTTGATTTTTTAAAATCATTAATTAAGTCTATTGGTACAATTTAGATATAATGATCACATTCATCATATGGAATCTGTATCTGTACATGATATATCTTGAAACTTGTTGTTTTATCCATTCCCTTCCCCTCCCTCCCACAGTTCTTCCCCTTATTTACAAAGGTTTGTTTCCATTTTATCTTTCTTTATACTCAATTTCTTTGTACTTTCTTTATACTCTATTGTGTAAAAAAATGATCACATGAGAAATATTACAAAGAATCAACATCTGGGATCTCATCTTACTAAAAAAAGCTTTTGCACAGCAAGAGAAGTCACCAACAGAGCTAAAAGACAACCAAAACAGTGGGAAAAAATTTTGTTAGCTGTTCCTCAGACAAAAGACTGATATATAGAATACATAAAGAACTGAAAAAAAATCAAGCCTTCCAATTTTAAGGACCCAATCCAAAAATGGGCATCTGAGATGAATACACACTTTTCAGAAGAAGTAGAAATAGCAAATAAATATATGAAAAAATGCTCAGCATCACTGGTCATCTGAGAGGTGCAAGTTAAAATAACGCTAAGATTCCATCTCACCAAAGAATGGCTATTATCAAAAAAAAAAAAATCCAAGGGCCAGGGATTTAGCTCAGTGGTTTGGTGGCCTGCCTTGCAAGCGCAAAGACCCGAGTTCAATCCCCGGTACCAAAAACAAACAAACAAACAAACAAAACCAATAACAAATGCTAGAGGGGAGGGGCTGTGGGAAAAAAGGAAACTTGCTCCACTGTTGGTGGGAGTGTAGACTGGTGAAACCACTGTGGAAATCAGTGTGGTGAATCCTCAAAAAAGTAAAACTAGAGGTTCCATCTGACCCAGCTATTCCCCTTCTTGGTATTTTCTTGAAAGAATTAAAAGCATACCACAGTGATATATGGTGATATAAACACCCACGCTTATAGCAGCACAGTTTGTAATAGTTAAATCTTGAAAACGGACCAAACAAATGCTCATCAAGTGATGAATGGATAAAGAAGATGTGTTTTTTTTACATACTCAGTCATAAAGAACAATAAACTTGAGACATTTATAGGTAAATGGATGCACCTAGAATCCATGCTCATTGGTTTTTTCAGCTGATACTGAGTCTGTATATTGCATCTTTTAGGTGGAATTCATTGTTACTGCATTGTTATTATACTGTGGTTAAGGAGTGATGGTGAAGAAGTGTTTCATATTCTTATGATTAAATGTAAGTCATCTTGTGGGCCTGAGCCCCTGGGCTGGAATAAGAAGGGTTTTTAGCCTTTCTTTCTGCCCCTCAGTTAGACAGAAATGTTCGAGTTGGCTGGAGTTTATTGGGTGTATTTCCCACCAACTCTTTGGAAAAATTGCTTTTCTTTGCGAGAAGGGATTTTTTTTTTTTTGGTTTTTTGAGACAGGCCCAGGCTGGTCTCAAACTCACAGTGATCCTCCTGCCTCAGCCTCCCAAGTGCTGGGATTACAGGCATGTGCCACCATGCCCGGCGAGAAGGGCTTTCTTAATGAAGAAAGCATTGGGTATATTTCAAAGTGATAACTTCAACCCTCCTTTTGCCAGAAACCTGAGGGAATTTTTTTGAGGTCTTCACCTTGAGAACCTGCTTGGATTCCTTGAGGTAAGACTCAGGAATGAATGGGGCCTCCCTAAACTGGAACTCCAGTGTTTTCTTGGTCTGAAACTAATCCACACTCAGACTTCAAAAGTTTGTCAAAATTACCAGTGAAGTGTTCTATAATTTTATGGATCCAGTGGTTTCTGCTCAAGGTAAAATAAACTAAGCTGAGCTCACCTGTGATTCTTTATTAGCCCAGGTCTCCAGATTCAGGGGTTGCAATTTGCAATGTGACTTCAATTCTCTGAGAAGGATATGCAAAGTTGTTGATTTCAGTTTGCTCAGCCTTTATTCTTGTTGCAGGGATGGATGTGATTACTTCCAAGCTCTTAATATGTCAAAACTGAAAGTGGAAGTCTGTATGCACTTTCAGATCTCATCAAATGGTGCACATAAGATTTGTGCTTCATTGTATATAAATTTTGTCTTAAAGTATAAACAAATACTGAATGCTAGTTTATGATTTGCATGTTTAAGTTTTAGAGATTATGTGTGTTGATGACTATAACATAAATTGAAATTCATCAAAAAAGAAGATGGATCAATGAGTGAAAAGGATATATAAATGGGTAGATATGAGAAAAAGAAATGTACTAAAAT